GCTATAGTTTGATTATGGTTTTTATAGAGAAGGGACTCGTGGGGCTGTGGGGGATGTTTTATACCTCGGCGATTAGTGTCGGTGGGATATGATGATAGAAATGATATATCTCCTGCTACAAATAAAATGTGGGTATGTTTCAGGTCCCACTACCTTGAACGCACATAATGTACTTTAAAACCTCGGCCCGATAAAAACACAAACACTGTATAATTCAGGCCCTACCCCTAACGTCAAAGAAGCGGGAAAGTTTATCAAGATGACACCTCGAGATTCAAGATGGCAGCTCAAGATTCAAGATGACAGCTCAATATTCAAGATGGCAGCTCGAGATTCAAGATGACAGCTCGAGATTCAAGATTCAAGATGACAGCTCGAAATAAAATATAGTGCTCACACAGCTGGTATCAAACGGCACTTTACAATATAGTCTCATAGAGCCGGTATCATCAATGGAAGACCACTCTATTTCGTGAATTCAAGTAGGACCCATTTAGGCCCTAGACTTGGTTGCTACAATCGATAAGATATTGCAAAAAAAAAAAAAGTAATTATGGTTACCGGCCGAACTAATTCCACCCGGTCATGAACTGACCTCCTATGAGCTCAACACTGCCCCCCCACTTCTCTAATCTACCCGGTACTATGCAATCCAATGATTGTAACCAATATCCCCAGCTACCACCCAGTGATCTCAACCGTAACACCGCCCTGTCCCTCATTCCCCACAAACTCCACCTTCCCCGCCACATTCCCGTTCTTTCCACACCTGCTCACCAGCTCCTCGATCCCGCGCCGCAGGTCGTCGCACCGGATCTGCATGCTCTCCAGGTGTCCCAAGGCTTGCACGAGCATGGTGCCCCCGCGGGCCAGTTGCACGCCCATCACGCGGCCTCTGTTCTGCTCGCACCAGGTGCTGGACCGGCCGCGGCAGAGGCGGGCGGCGGTGAGGCAGAGCCCCGGCGCGTGGTCGTCGGGGAAGGTTTTGAGAGCGCCGAGGTCTGGTAGGTGGGAGATGAGAGGGGAGGACGTGCCGGTGGTGCAGGTGTAGGTGTTTGTGGCCGCGGTGCGGGGAGGGAGGGTGGGATGGGCGTGGGTGAGGGTGAGGGTGAGGGTGAGGGTGAGGGTTAAGGCGAGGAGGGAGAGAGGGAACCGCATTGTGTGGTGTGTGCTTTGCTGTTATTGGTATTTTTGAACGTTATGGAGCTGATTTTTCTGACTGTGTGGTGTGGTGTTGGTGGTTTTGATTGAGAAGGCTAGTATGATAGCTGATAGCTTGGAAATGTTCTATACTTTGAATATGGGCAGCTGGGTCTGGTAAGTATTTGATTAACACGCTGGGGGCAATTTCTTGGATATATATAGTAATGTCGGTTTTAATTTTAATTTTCTATGTGAGCTTTCCTCCCATATTATTACAAGTATGTATAATTAGAATAGCTGTGTAGCTCAGCTTGTGAGCCCATGAATCATGCATGATATTATATGAGATAGATGTTACCTCAAGCGGTCGATTCGTAGTCAACAGTGAATTGAATTGATCAAGGTCCCTTAAAAAAGTACTCACCTGCGAGACGTATTTGCCAGAGTGTGTTCCGCGAGTCATTGACGCCCGTGAGGGCTCAAGAATCGAGTGAGGTTGAGGTTGATGTTTCTAACAGGCCCGCAATAAGTTCATGAACCTGGTTTAAATCGACCTAGGCCTCACCCAACCCCAACCCACGTTATGAAATCATAATCTCCCCCGATCATTGCTTATCACTCACCCCATGGGTTACATGTAATTACCTACATTTTTTTTGTTTTGTTTAACTCATTAATTACATTGTAATTACCCACATGCTGATACATATGTATTTATTTACTTGCGCCTACCCAATCCATTCACCGTCTTGGGAACGCCAGGTCAAGGTAATTTACCCGGGTAGACTCATATAACCTGGCACCCGTTGCGGGATCTGATTTCTAATAGGAATACTAGAGACATTTCCTATATTACATGTATATATACGTATATTCTGACGACTCTCCAGTACAGTCTCGCGATCGGTCTCGTAAGCCTTTACGCCAATTAAATCAATCCATATTTGCTTCGATTGAATGGGATATATACCAATATTAAACTTTTAATAATAGTAAATATAGCTCGGATGCGTCTAAATATAGTAATCATCTACCTTGATACATGTAGATGCATTATACTCGTAATTTCACAGCGTTTGTGAACACGACCACTATTGCATGCCATACAAAAAAGGTTGTCTTTGAGGTTTTTTGTGTCTATGCAATAGAGGTCATGTTCACAAATGCTGCGAACCAAATTACGAGTAGTCAAGCATATATATATAACGTACTGTCCCCAAAGCCTCCGCCTCCAAGGCCCTGCATCCCGGATCCCATCCGCGAGGCGTTAATACAATCATTGGTTATCAACCCAGCAGGCAGCTGCAGTACTAAATCATAGTAACTACATGTACCACATCCGGCAAGAGCCAGTAGTCGAGGCATCCCAACGCTAACTACAACTACATCTACTAAAAGTTACTTTTTCCAAGTAACATGCTCACTTGGATCCGACCAGATAGTAAGTAATATCTCGGCGCTTTCCGCCCCCGCTGTGATTCGTAAACCATAACCCAATTACAGCGATTCACAAGCATTTGGCGAATACACCCATATGACGAACAGGGATTACGGCCAATAAGAATCCTACATACAAATTCGCCAAATGGGTGTATTCGCCAAATGCCTGTGAATCGCTGTACCAACTACCACCGCCCTTGAATTCGAAAACCACCCGGAACCCTTCTATGTACCTACAGCGAGTGGTAGGGATACGGGAGGAGTCCTATTGGCTTTATGTAATGATTTTTCCACAACAAGCGGGGAGGACTAATTCGGCCTAGCTAGATACAAAAAAGTAGAGTATGTACCCGCGTGTATCATAAAGAACCAGAAGATGCAAACGCGTATTTTGTATGGCAGATCAGCGTTATTTCATATAAATAATCCCTACTTCGTCACTTGCATTTTCTGGTCCTTTATGCTACGGGCGAATATTCTATAATCGTTTTCATAACTCACACGCAGCCCTAACTGCAATCAATCCATAATCAAGCCCCGCCTGCCCCTCCCCCGCGATAACCCGCAGCTAAGCAACTCGATCGACCCCGCACCAGCCAGATTGGACGAATAACTCCCCCGGTCGGGCGAGGTCAATGAGTGATCGTGCTGGTGACGCCAGATTAGACGATCAACCAACCACACACTCAGAGGCCAATGATTTGCTCATGCTGGTGAAGTTTCCTCTTCGTACGTAGGCAGGCAACGTAGAGTACGCAGGCTGCAAAGTGCAGATTCCCATCTTAGCTGCCTTAGCTTGACCGACGCCACATCTTCGGCAGTTTGGTGCTCCAGGACCAAAATAGCGCGCTATGAGAGCATTGGAGGCAAAATTATGGCCAGTTAGAAATACGTTCACGTGCTCCGGCACTTTTGGGGGAACTTGCCCGAGTAACTACATTGAGCAGACATTTGCTACGTAGGCATATACAAAGCAAAGCCATGATGATGGCGTATGTTCCTTTCACTCTCTAGCTAGAGCAGAGTACAGGTGCAATTGCACGCATGTTTCAAGATATCATGTTAGCACTGTCCAGAGAAATGTTCGGACTCTCACATGTACACTTATTATCACTATACATGCACTTCTTAGCGTTGGATACGACTCATTATGATATTGTATGAAACAAGCTAGTAAACACGATAGTCAGGAGATTCGGGGTCTCGGTGCTGAATTTTGCAAATCCAAAGCTTCCCTTGAGAACGCGGCAGCTGTGCCACTGCGGTGCATCAGCTCGAATCATAAACACTGACATCCCCAACCACTGAAATGCTCACTCCTGTCGGGGATCTATATCTCATATCAAACAGTTTCAGTTCACCACAAATCACTCGCCCGCTTAACCACTTCCCTGGTACCCCTAACCCATCTCCAGATACTCGGCTCATCCGAGACAAACAAAACAAAAAACCTTCTATACCGCATTACCACCCGACACCAGCACAACTGCAACTACACCTACATACGCCCAGTGCTAAATACCACTACCACTAATACAATCCCCTCTGAGTAACCATCCACACCGTGCTCAAGCTGCTCACACAGATCGGCCCCGCAAGCCCCGCGCCCCACGAGGCAGTCCCAAAGATCAACCACTCGCTCAAAAAGTGCCATCCGGCAATGATGTAACTCCAGATGGCGAGGTCGTAGACGACGGTGTTTTTGATATTATACGCCGCGTACAGGCGCAACACCGAGGCCATAAAGGTCCATGTACCGAATGTGCGGGACGACAGCCAGTTGACTTTTTGTTGTGTTTTGTCAGTAAACAAAGAGGATTGTGAGAGGGGGTGATCAGTTAGTTACCTTGATCAGGGCGTCCGGAGTAGACGCGTTTGGTGAAGTGCAGGGTCATGTATGTCTGCACCGAGTTACCGACCGCGATGACGGACACCTGTTGATTCAATTCAGCGCAACTCTTCTATTCGTGATTTCGGAGGAGGGGTGGACAAAACGTACGAGGAACATCCATTTAGGGAGCCAGCCCTCATCCTGGGGAAGATAGCTGAGGACTTGTGAAATCAGTTCAGACATTGTGATGTTTGTGGTGTTCGTCTCGGTGTTCGTTTGGCGGATGTACGGATTCTGGTATGTATCTTGACAAAAGCTACGTGGACTTACCTTACTGCGGCTTATGGTGTGGTTGACTAAAGAGGCTCCTCCCTGTCGAGTGGTCTGCAACCTCCCCTGAACTATAATGATCGTCGGGTTAGGGCTCTTTTCAAATCATTGAGATCACTTTTCAGGCAACTACATTCGACGCATGAAGCCATCAGGTACTTCGGCGGGTGTTAGTAAATAGACTTAAATGAAACCGCTAAAAGATGATTTCTTTTTTTCATCCCTTCGTTTGAAAAGAAATATGATGTTAAATTTGCGACCCCGATGGGACTCGAACCCACAGTCTTTGCCAGGCGACCATAAACCGGAAAGCAATGCGTTAGCCATTACGCTACGGAGCCATGGTGAAACATACACAAAAAGCTCCTATCAATAGGTGCGTAAGGCGTTGTTGCCTTATAGGCTAGCGTACTCGCAATTTCATAGCGTTTTTGAACACAACCAATATTGCATACACACCAAAAACCGCCAAGACTACATTTTTGTATGGCATGCAATAGCGGTTGTGTTCAGAAACGCTATGGTTGGGGACGCCTTGAGCCGGAGTGGTTTCGGAGATCAACTTCAACCACTAATGACTTTCCTCAACCACACCCTAATTTATTTTCTCTCTGTTATTCGATAGTTCTGCTTCTTCTCTACAACATGACAGAGCCGGATTAATTTTATCCTTTGTTGTGGTGGAGCTATTGATTTTCTAAAAGTTGGGTTTTGGTGGGGTGCCCAGCCAATGTCGCGCCCATAATTGCCTATTTGGGACAGTAAATTTACCTGATTAGGAGAGTTTGTATCTGGATTAGACTGAAAGTTCTCCTTTGAGGGCGCCAAGTGGCTAATCTTGGCAAGTTACTAGCGGTGAAATGGTAAATAATTACCCGATTGGGAAATTGATCGTCAGAAACCAATGTCGCACCCTCCGTCTCAAGGTGTCCCCAACCATTTGAAGTTGCGAGTAGTACCCGTGCTCAGCCAACAGTAAATCGAGAAAGAACCCTGTCCAGTAGCACAGCAGCAGAAACATTGAAGTCATCTGAAGATTCGTATGTAAGCAGCCCTGTCTGCAACTTGCAATTACAAGAATGTAGAGCCATAAATTTTAAGGGTTCGGAATTTATAATTTGACTAATCGAAACGCTTTTCATGGTTACATTGACGCCGTAAATTCAGATAGCCATACCCAAGGACATTGGTAGGATGACAACAGCCAGAAAACAAGGCTCTAACTCATGCAGTCATGGTCTCTGAGACCTTGAGTGGTACAGATGAAGTTTTATGACCGCCCAGATCGAAATTTCAATGGACGAAACCTCTTATAAGGGAATCTCTACAGAACACCATCCCCTTTTGATACCATAGTTGAGCTCTAAAACCACTGATAATATACGTAATAAACAGAGTCTTGGTGTTATTAAATAGTCATAAAACATAAATTCAAATAGTAGTAGTAAGTAAGTAGCACAGATAATATGGTTGTAGTAAGAAAGGTCTAAAACAATGTATCCCCCTGGTAATGCAAACGATATAGTAAAATAAAACGCCACCAACTACATAAAAGAAGGTCAATACATTCATCAAAACAAACAATAACTCCAAACACTTTGAAAAAGTCAAAAAAAAAGAAGGAAAGAAAGAAAATACAAAAACGCCATCTCCTCATGTAGATGCAGGAGGCGCCTCCGGTTTTCGCCCTCGTACAACGACTCTGTTCCGATCGATATGTCGTTAGTTACCACGTACTCTCCGTGTTGAAACTCATATGCTCGGGAGATCAAGACTTACAACCAAAAATATATCCTCAGTTTCCTATTCTTCCCATCTCTTTTTGCGCCTTCTAACAACTCCCGTACCTCCTCAATTCCCATCCCCAGAACCCTTGTGAAGAGCGCCAAAGTATATCCCTCTAGGCCTTCCATAAAATTGATCATATTATACCTCCCAACCTCTTTCCCCCTACTATCTCTTTCCCATGGACCAAGGGGTATCCGGAATCGCGTTTCCTGAACATCCACAAACCCTGCTTCCTCCATCTGTGACTTGAATGATTCATCGGAGAACGCACGTCCAGCAATCTGTGATCCCAATCTCAGGAGGGATAGTACTCGGAAGATTGGAAGGTCGGAAGGAGGAGGGGTAGCAGTGTCAGTAAAGGGGTTGGCGGGTGTCTCCTGTAGCTCAAGCCAACCACCCGGGCGGATATGACTGCAGTCTAGGTTAATATCTGGATCTAAATAGCTAGTAAAGGTAGTACTTACTCATAGGCTTGCCGAAAAAATCTGGGCCAGTTTGTTATTCCTCCGAGAAGTTGTCGAGTATGGATGAAGTCAAAATTGTTGGTAGGGTATAACCAATCCGACTCCGCGTCTTCAACGTCGAAGCTACAGTTCGCGGGCGGTGAGACTTGGATTGGTGATAGGTCGTTCCCGATAACTCTAGCATTTGGGTACTTGCTAAAAACCCCGCCTCATATTAGCCCCACTCCTACCCAACCCCTCTAAGACATAAGAAGGCAACTCACAATGCCATCTCAATTGCCCAAATACCTGTCCCCGTGCCTACGTCCAAAATCCTCCTTGGTTCCTTCAAAGGAGACAGATGGAGCTCATTGTCTAGTAGTAAGTACATCATCTGATGAACCACATCCATTCGGTCTTGTTCCTGCTGGTCATTGGGTACCAAATAGTGGCCATCACGGTAGGCATGGTATCGGCGGTTGTGCTCGAAGCGGTAATTGTTTGCCGAGGACGCGTTTGAGCGCGCAGCTGAAGTGCGGGAAGAGGACGTGGAGGGAGCGAAGAAGGAGTCGCCGGTAGTACTGAGGATCGACGACTGCTGGATAATTAGCAACGAGCACCAAGTCGTAAAAGAAGAAGATTAATCAAGTAATGTACATTGCAGTCATAGTTCGCTTTGTTGGAGTATTCCTCGTTATCTTGGGGATAAATCTGTGGTGAAGCTACTAATTCTGCCATTTTGCGATGTGTATATATGTGGGTACTGTTGATGTTTTATAGGAATTGTTTAAATCTCCTCCTGGGTCGGTCGAGTGAGGGGATGATATGACACAAGTTGAGAAGGAGGGACTCTAGCAGAGGTCTTAATAACTAGTAGAGTTTGGATAGAGGCAGCGCGGCAGTAGTATCTTTGATTAATTTTACAGGGTTGTAGGCTGTCTGATATGTAGGGATAAAAATACCCGCCCAGAGAAAATCGAATTCCGACAGAGTGGGTGAGGTGAAGTGGATTTACGCTGGCTTCCTTTCCGAGGGAGTGGAACCTTAGCTCCCCTTTATCCCAACAAACCCACGCGCTCGAACCCCCTTCACCTCCCCCTACATTCTTCGCACACAATAGAGCACACATATGTGTGACAGCTTCATGCCTTTGGCTTTCCCGACTTATCTGGGTGGATGGTGGATCGTGGAAAGACGAGCGCATGTTGCGAAACAGAAGTATGACCGAAAAAAATATTTTCCACTTGGCCGATTTACCGCTAGAGATTCTCATGTATGATCGTGTCGAGAGACGTTGTTACGATTGCCAGCAGACAAGGAACCAGGTACAGTAAGTGTACATATGTACACATCTGTTCCGATGATTTGGTTCCAGTGAACCGCCAATGTGGAAGAAGCCCGTGCGTAGAACATGGGTGCCCGAGGGGGAAGATGGTGAATGCGTCCTGCATACAAGTATGAATCTGCGTTTAATGGAAGACAGCAGAGAAGAAACGGGCAGCGGGCCGTCAAATGATAAGTATAAATTATTTTTCCTTTGATTTGTCACAGTTCCCAGAGGTCTTCCAAGAATTCAGAGCTGTGTATGTACCTACCGATAAGTGGAACATCACATCACATCACATCACATTACATATCATCACACTACTCGAGTAGAGAGGTATGTAGGTAATCTAGGTACACTGGGTACAGTCGTTCACAGTGAAGACGGACACTGGGTGTTGACGGACAGGGTTCTACGCATGGCGAGAAACAGCCAAGCTTTACAAATAATTTTTTAAGGATTCTTACTCGTTGAGATTCCCCTGTCTGTCAACACCTAGTGTCCGTCTTCACCCCGTGAACGACTGTACAGCGATTCACAGGCATTTGGCGAATACCCCCATTTGACGAACAGGGATTACGGCCAATAAGAATCAGGATATCCAAGTCAAGCTCGCAGTTTGACTGGTTGCTGGCTGGTTGCTACATACAAATTCGCCAAATGGGGGTATTCGCCAAATGCCTGTGAATCGCTGTACTTAGAGTAGGTACATCTTATGTATGTACCCCATGGCCCAAAAAACCACCCCTGAAACCCCCTGCAGGTCTCAAAAACTCCGCACCCGTAACAATCCTCCTTTTTTTTTTCGTGCATGGGAATAATAATAATAAAGCCTATTATTGCAGGATTGAGTGATCGGTGTAACCTAAGGTAGTGGGAAGGTCGTTGCGGTTGTTGGGAGTGTCGAGTGACTTTCTGTGTATTAGCGTCGTCAGGGGTTGGTTGCTAGGGCGAGTTTAAACTGTTTATGGGGAGGTTAGCGTCGGTTATCGGTTACACAGGACCAAGGCCCAAGGGTGTATCCATGCGTGAAACAATATACCTATAGTATGTAAGACTCTGCATGACATCAATAGAAGGAAGCACCAGCCCTACAGCGACCGGAATGATCTGTGGAAAAACAGGGGGGTGAAATTGTACGGCGAAATGTCTGTGCACCATATAACTATCGCTGTAGTATTTCTCTGACGTTTTTGAACTGGGCTATTATTGCATACACCCAAAATCATGAGCGTAGCGTATTTTTGTATGGCATGCAATATCAGTCGCGTCCACAAACGTCAGTGAAATACGAGTAGATAATATTAGTCCGATTGCCTATGGCCATCTCCTCGGGACACCCGTTTTCTTTCTTTTCTCTTTCGCACTAGCCTCCCCTTGCATCATGACTGGAACCGCACTTTATGAAAGGATGAGCGTGATCGGGTTATGATCGTAGGTGAGGCGGGCTTGCTTCTGCTCCGCTCACTGTTTCTTGACTGGAACTCGGATCAAAGTGGCCATTGCAGCCAGTAGTGAATGTCCACGACGTGTGGCCGAGCGGGGGGTGAAAGGTCGTATCTACCAATATCCAGACTCAGCCAGCACTTGATAACAGGAGTATGGTAACCTGGGTACTTCCTTCCAAACCAGAGAAGTGAAGTCGGTGAAAAAAGTCTTCTCTGTATTAACCCTAACCCTAATGACACAATTACCTGGACCTAAACCCACTTGCAACGAATGGAACGAATATAACGCAGGTGACCAATTATGTAGGAGAACTGAAGGTACAAGATTTTCTACTATC